CAAAATTACCCAGCTCTTCTTTTGTGGCTTCTTGGTTTTTATTTATTCATTTATTTAAAAATGTATTTATTTATTTTTGGCTTTGCTGAGTCTTTGTTGCCGCACTTTGGCTTTCTCTAGCTGCAGAAAGCGGGAGTTACTCTCTAGTTGTGGTCCGCGGGCTTCTCATTGCAGTGACTTCTCTTGCTGTGGCTCACAGGCTGTAGGGCACTTGGGCTTCAGTAGTTATGGCACATGGGCTGAGTCACTCCACAGGATGTAGGATCTTCCCAGATCAGGGATCGAACCCATGTCTCCTGCACTGGCAGGTGCATTCTTTGCCTCTGGACCACTAGGGAAGTCCAGCTTCTTAGGTTTTTGTGTCACGCTTCACCTTATCATCTTTAACCCTTTTTCTAACATCTAACCGGGCAGAAAAGACAAACCTGATTTGCTTTGAGCTGCCTACATGTACTTTCTTAGCTATTGCTGTGCTGTGATTAGTCACTCAGTCATGTCAGACTGTTTGTGATCCCATGGACTGTAGCCTGCCAGCACCTCTGTCCTTGGGATTCCCCAGGCAAGAATACTGGAATGGATTGCCATGCCCTCCTCCAGGGGATCTTCCCAACCCAGGGATTGAAACCAGGTCTCCCGAATTTCAGGTGGATTCTTTACTGTCTGAGCCACCAGGAAAGCTCAAGAATACTGGAGTGGGTAGCCTCTCCCTTCTCCAGGGGATTTTCCCAACCCAGGAATCAAACCAGGGTCTCCTGCATTGCAGGCAGATTCTTTACCAGCTGAGCTACCAGGGAAGCCCTTCTTAGCTATCATTTCACATCAACTGTGAGCGGAGGGGAAGAGGAGAAAAGGCAAGGGGTAGTTTGTTGAGGGCAAACACTAAGCCTGGTGCTTACTGCAGTGATGAATTGGTCTTAGCTGGAAGTCAGGTTCCTTTCAAGGCAGTCTCTCCTGTATGTCAAAGAACATCACACCTGTAGCCTGACTGAACATGGGTGGAACAGGCCTCCTCCTTCTGAGAGGAGGGTCTGGGAATAGCTTCCTGCTTCTCACCTCTCCCCTCTTGACTCTCCTGTCTCTGCCATTGTTGTTATTCAGTTGCAAAATGGTGTCTTGACTCTTTGTGACTTCATGGACTGTAGCACATCTCTGCTGTTGAACCCCACTTTTTTCACTTGCTATTATTGCCCAGTTTCAACAGGGCTCTGGTCTAGGGGCTTACTGTCAGCAAGAGGTGCAGATGTGCCACACACAGCAAGGACAGTCTTGCATGGGCCTTTAAAAAGTATAATTTAAAAATTTTGACATGCATGACATACTTACATAGGTAAGTATGTAAAGCATGTAGGTGCCTTATAATAGCACACATTTAAAGGCTGTAAATTAAGTGACTTCAGAACTTATTTGAAAATAAGAACATTTAAAATCAGTTCTTATTTAGACCTCACATTGTTTTAAAAGGCCCCCAGTTTTTAATGGCCATAAAAACAGAGACAAGTGATTTAAGTTCATCCCCAGACCTCCCCGAGGACATACTTCTTGGTCCTGAGAGGGCAGGAATACATGCATTTCTTCAGTAACGTTCATGTGTACAGGAAATGACTATTGACATAATCTTTAAGCCTAATAGTTAAGATTATTCTTCAGTTTATAATTTAAAAGCTTCTGACAGCTATGTGCTGTGGTATAATTTATAATGAAAGTCTGAGTGATTGAGGTATATTTCACTGAACTGGCTTCTCTTATGAGTTGAAACTAAGGCTTGTGTAAACATAGGAAGGGAAGCCTTTCCCGGGCTTATGTAGTTGGGCAAGAATATTTAATGTCCCTCATTCCCAACTGTGCTTCAGTACCATCTGTGCTGTGCTCAAAGTTTATAGAAAGCAAATCTACAGGATTTATGGGGCATTTATTTTTTTCAATAAAATAGCCACATATAAGACTGCCAGCTACCAGTGTGCAGCAAAATAAAAGTAGTTTTTTGAGATATACAATTTTGTAGTACTCCCTTAGTGCTTCTTTAGGAGTCAGATTTTGTACATTTTCCATTTATTTGGCTTTACTCTTTTGTATTGATTTAAGGTTGGAAATCTTTGTAATATTGTTCTATATTTTTAATGACACACACACCATTATTTTAAAATTTTATTTTGCCATTTCATTCTCCAGAGGATCTTCTCGACCCAGGGATCGAACCTGAGTCTCCTGCATTGGCAGGCGAATTCTTTACTGCTGAGCGAGCTATCAGGGAAGTTCCAGCTTTTGTATATTTTTGGTTATAAGAAAAACAAAACTGAAAAATCAAAAGTGTGTACCATGGAGAAAGACAGCAATAGTGTACTACTAGTTGTAAGTTATCTGGGAAACTAGGTACCATATTATCCAGCAATGATTAAGAAAAAAAAAGAAAGAATTTGTCATCAGATTAAGACAATCTGCAGTGCTAGAAGAGTCGAAGTTTATAACTTTTCAAATAAAATACACGATTGATATTATTTGTAATACCCTATACAGAGCTAGGAAAGAGCATTTAGGTTAAACTATCCTCTCAAGGTATCTAATATATGAATTTGGATCAGAAGCAATCTGTTTGACTTATCATTTCTTCTCCCTGCCAGCTAAGAATATAGTTTTATATACAGCCAGCATGCAAAGTGTCTTAAAAGATGCCAAATACAATTCATGTGTTGATTTCTAATAGAATTATGTTGGCCATGGTGGAGATGTTTGGTCTGGATTGGATTATTTCCTCAGAATGGCACTATTGATACACTGAAGACTAAAGAAAAAGATTAAATACTGCTGGAAAATATATATAGAATTACCCCTATAAACCACCCCACTTGGCTTCCAAACGAACACAAAAACTAAACCAAAAAAACAGATCTTACTAGAGCTTGAAAGCTTTCTTTTTGATAATAACTGGCTAGCTGCCTTCATGAATATAAAATGAGACCCTTTGGAAAAAGGAAAAATTATTGAATAATTTAACCTAAAAAGCAATTTCAGCTAAAATACTGTGCATTTCAGTGAGGACAACTAGCATTTATTTTCTTTTCTTACAGCTTTTACTTACTTTAAATAAATTCGCCATGAGTAGATAAGAAAATTACTGCTTAGGATATCAATAACACTGCAGATTGAAGAAGTTGGATCAAAAAAGTCTTATCAAAATGTAAAAACAGTTTTTAAAAATATTTATTTTTATTTACTTGACTGTGCTGTATCTTAGTTGTGGCATATGGGATTGAGTTCCCCCAACCAGGGGTCAAGCCCAGGTCCTCTGCTTTGGGAGCATGGAGTCCTGGCCACTGGACCACCAGGGAAGTCCCTAAAACCAGTATTTTCTATCAACAAATAATGTGTGAAACAGATACTTTCATCTTCACTCTATTCTAAACAACCACCTCCACTGTGAGACTTTTACTTTTCCACTTCATTCCTTTTCGCTATTAAGTTTATTTTTTAAAACAGGTATGTAAAAAAAAAAAACAAAAAAAAAAAACAGGTATGTGTATACTTTTTAATGTAGCTTTCCTGATGTATAATTGACATACAAACTGCACTGTAAGCATTTTTATAATCAGAAAAAGAAGCAATAAATATTTTAAATGTCTATTAGAACTGGCTATGCTTCTAAAAAGGTATTTCCTTATCCACCCAAATTATCACTACAGAGGAATCGTAAATATATGACTATTACTGAGAGAGGTGAGTGATTGAAGACACCGAAGGGAGGATTTCCCTTGCAGATTATGGGATAATATGGTGATCCTGTATACCCTCTTCCCTCCATATTACATACTCCACTAAAGACAGCATGGTGAAGAAGCTAATACCAAGTAGGTATATATCTTCTAGAAAGATTTTCAAGTGTTGCCATAGGTATCTGTTAAATAAATGCAGAGATAGATATAACAGACTAAATTACTTTTCAAATTGGTGCTTTATTTTATTTTAGTAATATCCTTTATCTTGACCAGGTACCATTAATTAAACAGCATGCTTCTTTTAGACTTTGGGTGAAAATATGCAATTTCACCTCAAGTTTTCCAACCTACCAAATGCTGTTACCCTATTTAGCAATTTAATAAAATGTTATAAAGCTCATGACAAAACTATAGTTCTTTGAAATTAAGACATTTATAACTGGACAAGAAGAAATAAAAAGTAATACTGTTAAAAAAAAGTAATACTGTTAAGACAATGACTAACAATTTAGAAGGAGGATTTAGAAAAGTCTGATAATTCAACACAAATCATAATTATTCCCCAACTAAATGCTTTAAAAATGGCATTTTTCCCCCTGAAATTCTTACTATCACATTTAGTGTTTTCAGTTCAGTTCCAGGTAACTTTAAAGAAGTTCTGATTTCATTCCTTAAGAGAAAAGATTATTTTTAGCACTTTTTTATTCTAATAATTTACAATAATGAATGGCTGAATCCATCTCATTTTATTTTGTATTCCTTTCAATGGCATATGAGTGGGTAAGTATACTCACAAATATTTAAATATATAAACATTTTTGCTACATGTTAATATGTAGACATTTTTTATTATATGCCTTTTCTTTTTAAAGACATGCTTTGGTCACATTACAAGGAGTATATTCACATTAAAATAAGAGTTACAAACTATCAGACATGAGCCAAGACATGATCATCCTCAAATCAACTTTGCCTTCAAATAGTCTTTTATTTCATTTCACTGCCAAAAGCTGGAGTTAAATGGAGGAGGAAATGAAATGGTGGTTCAGTTGCTGTATTAATTCAACCAAAGCCATTCATACACATTTCTATTTAATAATCTTCAACCAAACCCAGCAACTTTAAAACTGTGGATTATCAAGAAATGAATGACCTTTACAAACCTGGACAGTGAAGAGGGAGGAGAAAAATAAAAGGATAAAAGGGAATCTAAATCAGCAAAGATGACAAAAGAGACTGATTTTTTTTTTTTTTTACAAGTGTCTCTACTACACTCTGTTGTTTTGAGATTCGATGTGTTCCCTGATAAATATCTCCACTTCTCAGCTAGGATCACCAAGCTCCTGCCAGAACTGAAACCACTGGTTCAGTCAGGCAAAAGAGCTGCTCCCTGGGTACTTCGTGTGCGGGGCAGTGGGAGAGACCCAGAGCAGAGGGCTTTTCCTGCTTGTGGGTCCAAATCGGAGCATCCTGTATCTCAGGATGCTCACTCTGTGTCCTTAGACCTCTTCAAGGTACAGATCAGCCCCAGAAGTCCCAAGTCAGAAAGGACTTCTATTCCATAAGGGTCAAGTAGGTTCACTGTGAACAGTAGCTGACAAGGGGAGAAAGAACCTGGCTAAGGTTGTGACTGTGAAGGTCAAGGACCCAACAGGCCTGAACGTGCCACTCTCTCTAGGGGCTACAGCTAAACCTGTTTATCTAGTCCAGGACCTGAGAGTGGGGTGGGTATGGAGTGACTGGGGTGCAGGGAGGGTGGCAAACCCTGCTACCCAGTGACAACCATCTGCTGTTCACACAGGGTTGCAGGGAGGCTCAGTGCCTTCCATAATTTGGAAACATAGTAAGATATTTAATAATCCTCTAAGAAGGTGGCCAAGACTTGTCCTAGGAAGCAAACCATTTCTATTATTCCAAACAATTTTTCTAAGAGGGAAAAACAGTTATAGAAGTTACTGCATCACCATATAGCTCAATAGTCTCCACATGTATTCAGCTAAAACTGAGTAAATGATCTAGCACCTTCCAGCTGGAATGGCTTCTTAGACCAATTTTAAGCACAGATTGGTTTTCACAAAAATGAAATACTGGTGTTTTACAAAGCCAGTTTTTACTTTTTTTAAACCAGGAAGATTGTATAAATGAGCTTGTGATAGATACTACAGAAAACACATGTATTCTTTGGCTATATACACAATTCTTTGCTTTCCTATGGGTTTTTTTTCTTTTTCCCATTAGTTTCTCCTGCAATTTATAGTAGTGACTCTGTCACACTGAATAGACAAGCTGTGTATTTTTACATTTGACTGAAGATTTCATTCCACATTTACTTAGATAGATAAATCAGAATATCCAACTATGGATTCACGTGAAAACTTTCAGAAATAATGCTTGTTATACCTGATGTAATAAATATAGTTATTTCATATCATTTAAAAACAACAATATCACTTTCTACCAGCCCCCATCAGGGGAGAGCCTAAGGCTGAGAGTCTGTTGGAATATTGTCATGATTTGTTTTTTCTCCGGAGACAGGATGTTTCAGAAACTGACCAGTAGCACCAATGTACAATCTTGATCGCATGGGCCATTTCTGAAAAAGAATATTTAAACAATAATCCAAAAGTTAGTATCTATGACAGACAGTGTGCAATAATAATATTAAAAATTCCTAATGCTTCAATGCAAATGCAATACTATGTAGCTAGTAACAACTGTGATTACAAAGTCTAAGTGATGACAAAAAAATGTTTATTAATGCTAACAGCAAAATTAAACATATACCCAGACTCTGATTATAACTGTATGAAATAATATGCATGCATGTGGACCAGAACTGCAAAAAATTATGAAGAATAAATATATTTAGATATATGAAAATTTATCTATCTACAATGTTTTAACTTTAAACTCAACCTAAAACAAAATCCCTGGCTTTAAAAATGTTTTAAAAAGTTATATGTGGTGGGAATTCCCTGGTGGTCCAGTGGCTAAGACTCTGCACTCCTGATACACGGGGGCTGGGTTCGATCCCTGGTCAGGGAAACAGATCCCACATGCCACAACTAAGATTCTATGCAGCCAAATAAATAAAAATAAATGTTAAAAAAAAAGTTATATGTGGTATTATGCATCTACATTTGTCAAAGGATTACAATGAAAAGTGACTAATTCAACTAACTAAACATTTTATCCTGCTAAAATCAATATCTGAAAGTTGCAAATATTAGAATGTTTGGGGTTACATAGCTAGAACATCTAGATTAAATGTCTGCTTGTACTGGCATCACACGCTTTAACCTTCATTCATCATCACATTTCTATTCTGATTGTGACTTTTCTAAATTCACCTTTAAAATGGGCAGCCTTTCAAATAATATAATTAATTTCCAAACAGGATGATGATGAAAAAATATACTACACAGGTAATACTTTCAGAATGGACTTTTTTTTTCTTAGAGGGGAGGGTCATATAATTTTGGTTTAAGGTCCTTGGAATACTAATCAGAGAAACACTGCTTTTTTTTTTTTTAAATACAAAGATAAGTCTTCAGACTAAAGTGCAATTCTTTGAGGTCAGCAGTGGGGTCCCACACTCTCCAGACAGTAAACATTGCTGTGAGCAGCAGGCTACCTTCACCAGTGAATGTTCACGGGCAGACTGCTGGTTACATAACACCATGAAATATTCTTTTTTTAAAAAACTTAAAATGAATATATTTATTTGGCTCTGCCAGGCTTCAGTTGTGGCACACAGGATCTTCGATTTTTGTTGCAGCATACAGGAGTTGCGGCTTGCAGAATTTTAGTTCCCTGACCAAGGGTCAAACCTGGGCCTCCTGCATTGCGAGCACAGAGTCTCAGCCACTGGACTACCAGTGGAACGGGTTGTCCTTGAAATGTTCTTAAATGCCTGGCAGATAATCCATGGTGCTCAAATAGAGGTACAGTTATTAACAATCCAAAGTCCATAAGAGGACTTCCCTGGTGGTAGAGTGGTTAAGAATCTGCCTGATAATACAGGGAACATAGGTTCCCTGATCCAGGAAGATTCAACATGCTGTGGGGCAACTGAGCCCACGCTTTAGAGCCCGTGCTCCACAAAAGGAACCACCACAACGAGAAGCCCGACCAGAGAGTAGTCCCCATTCGCCACAACCAGAGAAAGCCTGTGCACAGCAATGAAGACCCAATACAGCAAGTAAATAAATGAATAAATAAATACTTTTTTAAAAGGTTCATAAGAACTCTGGCTTTTCAACACAAGTTGCACATTAGGATCACATGGGAGCTTTAAAAAAAACCAAGAACTAATGGCCAAATCACACTCCAGACCAATTAAATCAGACAGGACCTCTTCAGAAAAGTATAAGGTAGAGCCAATTCTTATCTGGAATAATATAAGCCTGCCTTATAAGCCTTCCAAATACAGGGACTGTCACCTCAACTGGGATTCCAGATGTGAAATGTAGCATAAGGAGTAATAAGTAAGCATGTGAGTTTTATGACTCCAGATGTGATAACTGAACTTGCTCCAATGTGGTTTAGGTCATTTCAGAGTCCTAAATTCAGATTATTCTGCTCGGAATCTAGCAGAACTTCAACACAGATTAAATACAACATCTGTGTTACTTGGAATTTAAAATGTTCCATTCCTATATAATCTTCCTATAAACAAACTTGTATTTTATATTCAATACAGTAATAAGACTGACTGTGTTATTTATTTTTACAAATCCATTTCAGGTTTTGTTTTAAATCATAGAAGTGCATTCGTGTATGCTCTGGATGTATCATATTGGGCTATTCCTGGGATTCCCTTGACCAGTTGGGAACATGAAGCATTTTAGAAATTTGCCTGGGATTTTTTGATATGTCTGAATTTGGCATTGTAAGACCAGAGTTAAGGCCTGCATTATACTCAAGAATCCAGTGTCATGGTATTATGGAGTGAATGTTTCTGTTCCCCCAAAACTTACTTGTTGATGCTCTAACCCCCAGTGTGATGATAATTTGGAGAGGTAATTATGGTTAGATGAGGTCGTGAGGGTGGGTCCCTCATGATAGTATTAGTGGCCTTTTAAGAAGAGGTAGATATCCCCTTCTTTGAGAAAGAGTGAAGTTGGCCAAATGCAAGACAGGAAGAGAGCTCTCGCCAGGAAGTGAGTTGGCCAACACCATAATCTTGAATTTTCCAGCCTCCTGAATTGTGAGAAAATAAATTTCTGTTGTTTCATCTACCTAGTCTATGGTATTTTGTTATCACAGTCTGAGCTGACTACCACATATAGCATATAGTATAAGGCATAGATCATCAATTTGAAGTGCAGATTTTCAGGCATATCATAAACAAGTGCTTTTCTTTATTTTTTAAAAAACGTAATTAATTAATTTGGATGTGCCAGATCTTAGTTGCAGCACGTGGGATCTTCGAACTTTGTTGAGGCATGCAAGATCTTTAATTGCAGCATGCAGGGGCTTTTAGTTGTGGAAGGTGAACTCTCAGTTGCAGTATGTGGGGAATCTGGTTCCTTGACCAGGGATCAATCCCTGGCCCCTTGCACTGGGAGCATGGAGTCTTGGCCACTGGACCACCAAGGAAGTCCCTAAATCTGTGCTTTTCAATCTTTTACACTACTGCCACATTTTCATGAGTATAAAAATCTCATGCTCAAACCTCAAATGTAATTTGAGAATTCTACACTTGAGAATGTATATAATAATAATTTGACAATGTGAATTAAAACACATCAAAAATAAATAAAATAAAAATATTACTGAATGCTCCCTGTTAGTTCTATGTGTTACCTGGGTTTCACTGTATTGAGAATCACTCTAAAGCATGCAACCAAGAGTGGAGACCAATGAAGGTATCTGCTCTTTACAGCCTTGCTAGTAGGTAAGTGGCCTTCCCAGGTGGCCCAGAGGTAAAGAATCTGCCTGCCAATGAAAGACATGAGGGTTTGATCCCTGGGTAGGGAAGATCTCCTAGAGTAGGAAATGGCATCCCACTCCAGTATTCTTGCCTGGAAAATTCCATGCACAGAGGAGCCTGGTGAGCTACAGTCAGTGGGGCTCCCAAGAGTCAGACACCACCGAGTGACTAAGCGCACACACTACATAAGTAATTTATATGTAATTTATGAAACAAATCTAAAAATGTTTATGTGGATTTTTGCCTGATATTTCAGGGACTTAGTAAAGTTCCCTTTTAAATAACTTTGTGTCCCTGGATTTTCAAAAAGGCTACTAATAATTTTTTTCAAATGAATTTAATGTAGACACACAAATAGTTTTAGGAGTCAGAAATAAACATATAAATAAAATAATGGTTAGGTTGCATGGCAGCATCATGCCAAAAAAACCAGGTGACTGATTTACATTTCACTTCTCAATGGTCTGTTTTAGCATTGTGTAGATTAATACAATCCTGACTTTCTACTTTACTTAAGAAGGCATATTTGAAATTATGTAGTTTCATTAGCTTAGAACAATCTAATGCACTCATACAATTAACCAGAACTAAACCTGAAACAGAAGACTTTAAAAATATATATTCTTGATTTTTGGAGTTAAAAGATTCCAAAATAACAAAGCAAAGTAACAGAATTTATTTTTTAAAATCACTGTTTATCTGTGTTATCAACAATGATTCTCCAGGGGTAATGCAATTAATAAGGACAACTGTGCTTTTCTTACAATGTAAGTATCTGAAATATAGCCCTGTTCTCTTGGAGTTCTGCTCCTTCGGATACTGGCACTGATCAGAACTGTTCACATCCCAAAGGTATATAAAGTGTTGTTTTAGGCTATCCTCTGGGATCCCAGTCTCTTAAACCTTCATTTGAGGTATTCTTTTTTTTTAAGATTCTCAGGAGAGCTTCTTTTTTTAAAATTTATTTGGCTGCGCTGGGTCTTAGTTTCAGTTCTTATGGTACTCAGGATCTAGTTCCCTGACCAGGGATGGAACTCCAGCCCCCTGCATTGGAAGGCACAGAATCTTAACCACTGGACCAATGGACAAGTCCCTTGAGGGACTCTTACTGTAAATTCCCAACAATGCTAACAATGCCAAATCTCCAATACTGATAATAAGATGATTATTTTGATGACTCAAAATTATGGCATTGAAATATTTGTTAATGGATCTTTGATCATCAAAGTAAGGCCCAGTAATACTATGTGGTAAGACAGAAAAATAGTCATTTTGGAACACTCTTTAACTAAAGGTTACAGTACCTTTTGTAGATTAAAAAGTACAAATAATCAGAATATTTCTTTGGCATTAGATTAATCAACAACAGACTTAATATTTAAGCATTTTGGTAGTATCTGTAAAATAGTGTTACAAACAGTTTCAGTTATGTACACAGAATCTCCTTCCTCTGCATCGCCACGGCACAGGGTTATAGTCTCTTATGGCATGTACAGCATTCTCTCTTAAAATCGTTGTTGTTCAGTCGCTAAGTCCAGTCTGACTCTTCTGCGACTCCATGGACTATAGCCCACCAGCCTTCTTTGTCCATGGGATTCGCCAGGCAAGAATACTGGAGTGGGTTGCCATTTCCTCCGTAAGGGGATCTTCCCAATGCGGGGAATATGTTCAACCACCAATTTCATTTTTTAGTATTTATTTTTATTTATTTATATGCCCAGGTCTCAGTTGTGGCACCCGGGATCTCTGATCTTCCTTGCCAGCATGCAGGATCTTTAGCTATGGCATGTGGGTCTAGTTCCCTGGCCAGGAATAGAATCCTGGCGTCAATGCATTGAGAGCACAGAGGCTTAGCCACTGGACTACCAGGGAAGTCCCTCAATTTCATTTTAAGAGGTAATCTTTGACCATCTTTCATTATCCCTATAAATGTCTTTTAAAACAAAAATAAGTGATTCAGAGGACAAATGAGATTCAATTTTCCCTTAAAGAGTTATAAGACTACAAAAACATTTGGTATGGGAATTAGGGCAAAAAAACCTCTTGCTAAGCTTATTGTTACATGAAAATTATGGTTTTAGTATTCATGAAAATTATGGTTTTAACGTTACTCATTCAAAAAAGCACTGCAAGAAACAAAAGTGAAAAACAACTGGATTTCTCATATGATTTCTTTCTCCCACAAAGAGGCATTTAACAGATGCCTTTTGTATTAAGCCTACTTCATGTTGAAATAAACTTTCTTAGAGTATAATATCAAGTCAAAAGAAATCTAATATAAATGATACATTTGAATAGCAATCTAAGGTACCTAATATTAATCTAATATTAAGATTAATAACATCTAATGGTTATACAAAACCCCTTAATTAGTAATGAATAAGTTTCCAGCTGAGGTTATATAACACATGAATGGAATGGAATAGGCTATCATAATTATGAATAAATGATACTTCAAATTTTTACACTTAATATTTAAACTAGTTTGAGTATCATCATGTTGATTACATTCGCAAAGTAAATTTTGTTAAAGCTTACCACAGAATTTTAAGTTCAGTTAATATTAGAGGATGTATTTTACCTTCATTTCAATAATGATTATTTAATAATTTACTGAACATTGATACACTTAAGGGAAAGTCTTAATTTTATATTTGTGTTTGTGAAAATGTTTCAGAATAGTAGAATAAATATTTCAAATATTTAATTTTAGAAAATATAGGGAAGGCGATTCATTTTGAACAGAAAGCCTGATCGATGTAACATTTTAAAACAGATCTAGCAGAAAAGGATGATGAAAATCTAAATATTGCAATATAGGTAATAAATCATAATCATATAAACCATATTAAACAAAACCCCGACCAATTTTGTACATTACTACCTACATGTAATGTAAAAAATATTATACAAGACGAACTCTCTCTCTCAGCTAATTTTGTACATTAAAGAATCTGAATATAGTATTTAATCCGAACACAATATACATGCCAATTTATTATGAAAATTACATAAACTCATTGTAGTTTTGCTAACATTCTTGGCAGTTGCCTAGTCTATGATAGTTAACATTAAAATGGACTTAAAATTTACCATATGGGGATGCAGAACGGTCTCATTTTACAAAAAAATTTCAACATTGGTTTCCTAGGGTGAGTTAGCAACAGATAATTCCATCACCGTATTTAATTCGTGAAACTAAAAAAATTGACAGAAATCACAAGGGGAAACATAATTATGTAAATTTAAAACCCTCAAAGGCTCTTTTAACTAAAAATTATCAAGATGTGCAACCAGGCACTCCAGAAAAATTTCTCATCTAGGAAAGGTATCCTGTAGTTTCCATCATCCTATAAGGGACATGAGACTCCCCCTACCCAAGCCACCCCAGGTTTAAGCCACTACCTGCAAACCGTTAAGGAGTAACCTAGTGCAGTGGGGATCTCCCTGCCGGTGACTTGGGCGAAGATCGCTCTCCGGGTCTGTCCCCTGCCTCACCGGAAAGGTGCGGCGAGAGCTCGCTGGTATCTGCACAAGCAGTGGCAGACTCGACAGGGCAAGGTGCCTTGCTCCAGGGCCCGGCTCCTCAGTGCCCTGCCCGCCTACCTTGACCGGGTGTAGGTAACCATCTCCGCGAAGGGCGCCCAGTCCTGGGTCCGCCGGCGCCTCGGCGTCGTCCTGCAGGCTACGGGTGAGGTGCGCAATATAGGTGGTAGCCAGCAGCAGCACGTCCAGCTTGGACAGCTTTGTGTCCGGCGGCACCGACGGCAGCGTGCGCTGCAGCTCCAGGAAGGCGTGCCGCAGAGTCTGCACGCGGCTGCGCTCCCGCGCCGCGTTCGCTGCCGCCGGCCGCCCGCCTCCCGAGCGCGCGCCGCCGCCTGGGCCCGAGGTTCCCGGCCCATTCTCCAGGCAAGAATACTGGAGTGGGTTGCCATTTCCTTCTCCAGGGAAATCTTCTTGACCCAGGAATCGAACCCAAGTCTCCCCATTGCAGGCGTATTCTTTACCGTCTGAGCCTCCAGGGAAGCCCAACCAGCCTTACTTTCCACCGCCAATTTAGTCAAGAGGGCTACGATACTGGGGGAAGGAAGATTTCAGGTTCAGAACTTATTCGAGCGTCTGGATTATTTACCTGCCCCTCCCGCGGGAAAGATGGAGCGGGTCAACACGTAGAACACGCCGTGGCCCGCGGTGCCCGCACCGGCCGCCCTCGCATTATGCGTTCCGCAGGCTGGGGGTCCCCAGGGGCGACGGCAGGAGCCTGGGGCGGTTTCTGCCAGAGCGAGGGACCTGTGGCTTCACCTCAGACTAAGGCACCCGCCACCCGTCCAAGTCCGGAACTGCGCGGCAGGGGTCGGACCCGGGTCCTCACCTTTCCTGGAGGGGCTGTGCGAGGTTCGGCTCCGCTGCGAGGGAAGAGAAGCGTCGAGCCGGGTCTGCGTGGCCTGGACTGCGCCGGTCACTCCATCTTCGTCAAGCGGATCGGGTGCGCCTTTTATGCGGGCTCGTGCAAGGCGAGGACTGCTGGTGGGCCAAGCTAGGCGCCGGGATCACCACGGCAGGACCCGCCGACGTCCTCCGGCACCTGTGGTGCAGTGCTGTGCGGCTAAGAGCTTCGGGAGCCTCTCTGCTTCAGGAGACTCATTAATCACACCGTCCGGTGGGGGCGGGGCCAGAGGGGGCGGGGCGTCTTGCTGGCCACGCCCTCCCGCATTCGGGTTCTCCCCCAGGTCGGGCCCCGAGCGCGGTACGTCTAGCGCCCGCTGGGTTGGCGGCCGGCTGGGCCGGAGTCGCGGCCTGGGCTCTGAGGACCCCAGCGCGGCCTCGCGAGTTACCTCGTCTCGCCGTGGGCCTTCCGCCTCGGGCCCAGGCTGAGCCCCGGGCGCCTTCCTGACCGGCGCCGGGCCGAGGCGGGAAGGCGGCTGTTCTGTGGAACGCGCCTTAACTTTCGGTGAGGGGGTGTGGCGTGTGCCGCCTCGACGCGCTCACCGTTTGCTCCACCACAAGGTTAACGTCTCCTGCCGTCGTGACCGCTTGAAGCGTAGTCCCGCCGCCTCGGGACTCCGCGACCAGTGTATTGAGCACCCCGGAGGTAAACTGCACTGAGTTCGAGCGTGCCTACGGTCTGTGGTACTTGTAATTCCCCCAGTGGCAATCGCTTCTTCCCGAGGCTGGCACCTCCATCGTCCCATCTCCCCCCCCCNCCCCCCCCCCGGGGCCCCGCTTTGTTTCACTAGTTGGAACGGATTTGGGAGTTTCCCTTCGGGGAGCTTGCCCGAGGTGTACCCTCGTGGCCTCCGGGGAGCGGAGATGGCGGCCGTGTGGGGAGGGGCTCCGTCCAGGCTCCCTGAGAAAAGGGGGCGCTGCCCGGGGAAGCCCGGGCCCTGGACGCCCCCGACCTGGTGTGGCTTCCGCTTGTTTGGAACCATCGCCTTCACAGGTGAAGTTTGAGCAAACGCCCAATATTTCCCAGCAATGTGATTAATGCATCCTGGAAAACAGTGCTTGCGTCAGTCTTCTTTGGGGATCGCGACAGACTATCGAATTTAAAATATCCTTAATGAAACCGTTCTTGTACATGTGACATAATTTCATCCTTTACCATATATTTAAAAATTGGAGCTACCAACAAGTACAGGGCTTTCCTGGTGGCTCAGTGGTAAAGAATCCCACCTGTCAATGCAGTTTGATCCCTGGGTCAGGAAGATACCTTAGAGGAGGAAATGGCAACCCACTCTAGTATCTGCCTGGAGAATCCCCATGGCCAGAAGAGCCTGGCGGGCTACAGTCCTTGGGGTCGCCAAAGAGTCAGACACGACTTAGAGACTAAATAACAAACCTAGTACATAGTAACGGTGGCATTTACTTTATTTGAGTATAAAGTTCCACACACTTTAAGTTTATTAGTAACTCAGAGTACTCTCAGGTTTTCATCTCAATTCCCATTCGATAAATATAGTCAGATTTACACTTTAAGATAAAGAAGCACATCAAAATACCGTGAGTTCAAAAAACGATTACTTTTGATGAATGAAAAAGCACATCTTTATTTCCCCAGAAAATTGTGTGTAATGAGGAATAAAGCAATTGTAAAGGACTGTTTCACATTCTATAAAGAAGCAGATCAAACAGGAATTGCAAAGGTTTTTCTTATATAATGAGACTATAAAGCTACAAACCACAAAAAGATGATGTTGCCTAGTACTATAAAGGTAAAGAATGAAATGTTTCAGATCAGTGAAGGTTGAATTTACTGGTTTTTTACAAACAAATTTTCTTTTACTTTCAGATTATGAAGAAGGTGAGGTTCACGTACATCATTTTTTGTCAGCAAGCTTTCAGATGCCTTCAAAGAGAGATTTCTGTATTGACAGAGAAAAAAAACAAAACAGCATTTAAATTATTTCAAAACTGAAAGTTATCCAAAACAGGTAGGAAATGTATATAATCCAGGACACATTAACAACAGTGAAGGCTAATGATTAGTTACTAAACTGTGAATCTTCTCAGGCTTTAAAGAAAGCAGAAACAAAGATTGTGCCCCTGAGGTAGGGAAGAATGAAGAAAATCTGTGAGTTGGGAGAGGTGTGGAAATAACAATATTGGAGGGAAAGTAGGGACCAGGACTAAAGTAGGCAACTTAGGTGCTCAGGGCTCCTTGTATTTTGCACCCGGGCATCTCACAAGCCTCCCCCTAGCCTAGACTGCTAGAGTCTTCTGCTACTCTAGGAGTTGGGGTGAACAACGTGCAGGCACTTCACTGCTAATAATGACTGGCCAGTTGCCCAGCAGGTTCGAAAGGACTGATGTAACAAGACCCGCCACCTCAGGCCACCCCCTTGTCTTGTCTGCCGCTCTAAGCAGCCTCTGAATCCTCTGATGACTCTAGTCCTAATTCCTGCAAGACTCCAGTATTTGCAATTAAAGTTGAAATGGAGAATAAACATCTTCAAATTTTCAACATTATATAAATTAGTAACAGGTATCTTTTTAAGTGCTAAGTGTTTTTACAGAAAGCACTTTTCTCATTTAGTCTTTACAAAAACCCTTTGAGGACCTTATAGTTGAGAAAATAAAGCTAAGAGAGTTGAAGTAAGTTGTCCAAGGTCACACAGCTAGTAAGTGGCAGAGACAGGATTCAAGCCAGGTAGATTGACCTTAACACTTGTGCTTTTTGCCATACTATTTTATTTACTATTTGTAGGGATCTTCATTATTTGCAAAACATTTCTTTTTGGTATCTTATCTCAGTAAAGAGCATTAACTTGAATCCTTATTAACAATCCAAATACTATTTTCATAGTACATCTTTCTTTGAAATTCGTGCCTAATCTGGTTTTAAAGTGCTATAGATTTTATTTCACTGAGTGTGATTAGGCCTTTTAAAAAGATTTATTTATTTGGCTGCATCAGGTCTTAGATGTGGCATGCAGAATCCTTATTTGCAGCATGTGGACTCTTTAAGTTGCAGCTTGTGAGATCTAGTTCCTTGCCAGGGATTCAAAGACTGGGAGTTTGGAGTCTTAGCCACTGGACCATCAGGGAAGTCCCAGTGTGATGTAGGTGTCAAAATCATGCTTATCTTTTTTTAATATGTGTCAAATAGTTTGTTATCTTTATAATGTAAAATGATCACATATACCAGTGAAGAAAATATATTGTTTTGTTATCTATCTGTATCAGTGGGCTTATATACAGTTGGTGCTTTTTTCACCTTTCAACTATTTCCTTCATTGTTTAATTAAGGTATAATTTACAGGCTTAAATTCAGTCCCTTGAGTATATAGTTCAGCAGTTTTGATAAAACATTTATAGTCATGTAACTACTACCACAATAAAGATATGCAACATTTCATCACCCCCTCAAAACTCCCTTGTGTTGACCCTTTGTAGTCAACCCCAGGTCCTCAGCAACTGTCTCTGCAGTTTTGCCTTTGCCAGTAGGTCATGGAATCATACACGTGTACCTTTTAATTCTGGTGTCTTTCATTCAGCATAGTGCTTCTGAGGTCTGTGTCATCTCATATATTGCTAATTCATTCCTTTTTAATGCTGAGCAGTATTCCATTGTATGGATGTACCACAGTTTGTTTATCCATTCCCTGCTGAGGAACTTTTGGGTTGTTCCCAATTTTTGGTGATTCTTAGTAAGCCACTAAAAACATTAGGGTTCAGATTTTTGTGTGAGTATATGTTTTCATTTCACCTGGGGAAATACTTAGGAGTGGGACTGCTGAGTGTGTTGAGTGTGTGTTTAACTTTGTAAGAATATGTCAAACTATTTTCCAAATTGGCTGAACTATTCTTTTTGCATCCCTACCAGTAGTGCATGACAGTTCTGGTGGCTCTATATCCTCGTTAGCATTCATTACTTGATTTTTTTTCTTTTTACCCACTGTAATGGACATTTAAAAAAAAATATTGATCCAATATTTACAACATTTTAAAAATCAGATGATTCCACAATCTAGATATCTTGCTTGCCAGATAATCTGATTTCCCAAGTTCAACTTGCCTGCCTGGCTGTAGTGTTTTGGAGCCGAGTAGCTACAGTTGCCTTTAGTTGGACAGCATGCTCTCCAGTTTACCTCAGTCACATTCTCACCTGCTTCCTTTACTTATTTTATCTGCTTTTACTTTAGGGTGTTTTTGAGACCCCCTGGCAATGTAATGTTTTTGAGACACCCCTGGCAGTGTAATTAAGAACTTGACTTTTGGAGTCAATGACCTGGATTCATGTCCCAGCTCTGCCTCCTGGCAATCCTGTGATGCTGGGCTCCTCTGACTGTGTTTCTCCAATACTCATTTTCCCTATGTACAAGTTGGGGCTGATAGTACTCTTAACTCAAAGGGTCCTACTGTGTTTTATAATTTGTTTGGGTAATAAAGACTAAGCTTTCAGAATAGACATTTTAAAATGGAAAAAAACTAGTACAGTTCTTATAATTACATAATTCTTGTTCATAGAGTAAGCCATTGACAGAGTTGAGACTAGACGTCACAAAAGCTAGCTTAGACTGTTCTAAAAAAAGTTTTGTTGCTCACTACTATTACTTTCTTTTTTTCTTTTCTTTTTTTTTTTAGGGAGGTGGGTGTTCTCCTAATTTCAAAAGGGTTCTTTGAGAACTGCAAACCAAAATCTTAGCATTATACCTATATTACTGATGCATACAGCTATTTTGCATATAAAAGTTAGTTAGGCCGAGGCTGGACTTG